TGGCTTCGTCTTCGGTGATTCGCTTGCGTTTCATCCTGTCTCTCGTCCAGCTGCGCTCGCTCTTCTTTTCCACCCGTCTTTGCCGTGCCTTGTCCCGTCTTGGCGCGCTCGGATCTCCTCGAGTTGGCGTGCGCCTCAAAACTCGAGGGTGCGGACTGTCCTTTCGAGCGAGCGACTGAAGCCCTCGCGCGGCCCTCACCCTCTCATCATCTTCCCCCCAGCGCGAGAGCTGGATGGGGGGCGGGAGCTCGAACCAAAAGGCAGGGCTCCCCCACGGACGAGGGAAACCGACGGACGGGCGACACGAGGAGGAGCAACAGGAGGACAAAAGAGAGAGAGAGAGAGAGAGAGAGAGAAGCGAGGAGGAGCCAGGGGCTGCAGCAGGCACGACAGAGGAGGGCGGGAGAGGGGAGGGACAGGGCCGCCAATGAAACCGACGCACCCCTGGGGAACCTCCGGGGGCTCTCGTGGAAAGGGCTTCGGCAGCATCGGCGGCCCTACGGCTAGGATCGCGGGTGCAACTTTGCTGGCACCCCAGTCATCGTCCAAGTGTAGTCTGCGCGCTGGCTGCTCTTGCCAAAAATGTTCGGCGGTGGACAAGCCTCCCTTTAGTAGACCTCCCCTTAGTGAAAACGGCCTGGGACCGAAACCGACGGACCCAGACCCGCAAAAATGACGGCCGCGACGCCCTCTCGCGAACCGCAAAAAGCCAATTTCTTAATCGACGTGTCAAAATAGGAGGTCAATCAACCTCCGAAATGTGGTCTGGTCTGCCTGGCTGGTGTCGATGCGGACGTGGTGCTCGCGCTCCGGCCGCCCGGCCTACGCCTCGCGGGGTAGCTGGGCGTCTGCCTGGATCTCTGGTGGCCGAGGTCGATTCGCAGACCTCGTGGCCGAGGTCGACGCGGGCAGGGGCCACGGCGCGTCGGCGGGCGGTGGTGGAACCCTCGCAACCTCCGCCGCGACCTCCTCGCTGCGGCCCCTGGCGGGGCAGGAGCCAGGCGGCGCGGAGGGCTGCCCCGGCTGGACAGCGCCTCCACGGCCCCGCGGAGAGCGCTGCAGCATCTCTGCCGTGCGAGGGGGCGGTCTGGTCGCGTCGCGGTCCTCCCCGTCACTGCAGCTCAGCGGGTGCCCGAAGGGGCGCTTCTGGTTCCCGTGGGCGTACCGCTGGCCCTCGCTGGGGGACCTCAGGCGCTCGTAGCAGGCCTCCTGGTCCGTGCAGGAGCGCATCTGGTCCCCGTCGTGGCGCGGACGGTCCTCGCAGGAGCGCGGGTGGTCCTCGTAGGAGCGCCGCTGGTCGTCGTAGGGACGCTTCTGGTTCCCGTCGTTGTGCCGCCTGTCCTCGTAGGAGCACCGCTCGTCCTCGAAGGGGCGCTGCTGGCCCTCGTAGGAACCCATCTGGTTCCCGTGGTAGCGCTGCTGGTCCCAGTCGGAGGGCTGAGGGGTTCCAGCAGGAGCGCTGCTGGTGGCCGGAAGTCAGCTGGTTGAAGTTGGTGCTGCCCCGAGGTTGACAACGAAAGCGAAAACACAAAGTGAAGATGGCGAACGTTTCCGTGCCGCGCATGCGACTCTTCGCCATGCAGCTTGCTACTAGTGTTCTACAGCCAGTCTCGCACAATGCGCGGTGTCTTCGCGAAGCCTTGATCGCGGCAAGGGGCACCTGCCACAGGCGTGGCACATCGCGTAACCGTTGCCTGTTTTGTCAGAGTTGGCGAGGTCGGGGTCGGCGTGGGGGGTGCACCGCGGGCTCCGCGGCTGCCATCGCCAGATGCCGCGCACTGGTGCTGCTCGTTCGCCCTGTGCAGCGAAAGGGCTCGGGTGCAGGGGGATGCCCCGCAGGCGCCCCGTCCTCCTCCTCCTCCTCCTCCTCCTCCTCCTCCTCCTCCTCCTCCTCATCATCATCATCATCATCATCAATCATCATCATCATCATCATCATCATCATCATCATCATCATCATCCAAACCCTCGCAATAATAATAATATAATCATCATCATCATCATCATCGTCGTCATCATCATCATCATCATCATCATCATCATCATCATCATCATCATCATATCATCATCATCATCATCATCATCATCATCATCATCATCATCATCATCATCATCATCATCATCATCATCATCATCA